AAATTCATCCAAAGCTTGGTAATGACAAGAAAAAAATTAGAAAGAAAGCATTTAATAGGAAAAATGAATTTACAAATGGGGTTAAGCAGATGTAGACATTGTGAATACACATAATCCTCTTTCCATTCATTAACAGGCCTGATTCCTTCAGGAATCTCTCAGGAGTGTAGCTTCCTGTCACCTAGTGGAAGGGGTTTACCTTCAGTGTCGTTTTGCTGCAGATCATAAGTGCGGTAAGGGAAAAAAGACTGTGGTAGTATTTAATCTGGTTAAGGGAAGTGCACAAAGTCCTCTCTGCTTCCTTTACATTTTTGTTACTTGATTTCCTATACTAAGAAAATGCTGCTTTCTATCCAGAACTAGCCAGTCTGACCATAGTAATAATAATAGACAATGAAGTTTAAAGAATCTAGATGAGAATGCCTGGCCCCTTACCCAGCAAATAACATCACCTCTGCACCTGATAGCCCAGGAATTACCACAGGAAAACAAATCCTGATCTTTTATGAAAGCATCACCAGAAGGCTGAGATAAACATTTTTTTTTTTAAATGTATCCACATGCTGTATTACCCACTGGAAGTAAGCGTAAATATCTGAATTAAAGAGGCAAAGTGTGTTACCTCCTCCAACTGAGCCCATCTATTCAAAATATGTGACACTCTCAAAGGCCTTAAAAAGCAAAGGACCATGGTGCCCACAGCCTCCCTCTCTGAAGGGGAACCCGACTTGAGAGCATGGAGCTGTGCGGAGCATGGGCTCCTTGGCAGACAGACCCTGCTGCAGCAGGATTTCACCACAACCTTACTTTGTTCACTTTTCTTCTGGTAGAATCACATTAAACAAACCTCTTGCTCTCATGGGGGATTTAATTTTCTACACTCACTAGAAGCCTGTGAGATTGCACTTGAAGATAACTATTTTGGATTTTAGGACTGTTAAGAAATCCATTAGGAAACAAGCAGCTGCTGGACTCTGTTGCTCTGCCAACAGCTGATGGAAGCTCAGACACTGATGGAGAGTTCTGGTCTGCATCTTAAATCTAACACTTGAATGCAATGGCTGAACTTGGCAAATTACCCCTTCTCTAATTGATCTTTTCAATAATGAACCCTTCCCACACAAATATGCTTACATCAATTTAATTTATAAATTATGTTATTTTTTTACAGGGGGACTATTAAGACTCAGATCAAGTATTAGCATAATAATTGGTTTTATCAACAATCTGAAAAGCCTTATGAATAACTAAAACCAGAGTCACCTAATGGCTGCTCTGTTTTTTGTTACGGCTTTATTCCAACTTTTTGTATTGTGGGAAAGGAGATGAAGTTGTAGGTCACTTATAAAATGCTCTTGCTCAATGGACTGGCTAAAATAACACATGCAAAGTCACAACAGTCACCATCCAGAAAATCTGCAAGACCAAGTGCCAAACACATTCTGGAAATGTATTAAGGATTTCTAGACATAAAACTAAATATTAACTTTCTTACCAATGCAAGCAGAGCAATTTTATGTGCCAAAACACATACACACAATGCACACGCACAGAGACTATATATGTATATATGCAACATTATGCAGGTACCATGAATTTCTATGACTTACTAGTTTCTCATGATGTACGATAGCATCATATATGAAAGGATGATTTCTCACATACTGAATATAAGCTCAGTTTTCATTTAATTTACCTCAGGGGGTTGTTAAAGGAAAAGATGGGGTCTTATGTTCATACCTATTTCAAAACAGTCATTACTATTTCAAAATAGTTTTCAGTATAAATACATGTTGCTTGTACAATATAGTAGTCTCATACTACATATAATAACACGCCTCACAGTTTAAAAACACGCCAAATACTCCCAACCTTGCACTAAGAATTCCACTCCTGGCCTAGCGGTTGGAAGACAAGAGACATGCCATCAAAAGAAGGGGACACCTACACATGGTTCTCATCCTACACCAAAAATGTGGATTTTGAATCTTGGTGCAATTAAAACTGCTAGTCCCTCAGCTGTAGCAATGCATTTTCAGGACTTGTGCTGCCACTATCTCAAACCAGAAAAAATTTATATGACCACTAAGGGGAAAACACTTAAGAAGAAATATGTTCCCTGTCCCCAGCTGAAACTTAAGATTCCTCTCTACTTTATAAAACCTCAAAAGAGAGAAACAAGTCCTCTAAAAGAACTATAATGAGTTATTTTACTTGTTTGTTGTCCTGAGAACAGCTGTGTTTCCCATTCTAAACACACATAAAACATCAAAAGAAATGGCTGAAGCATGAGGCTGAAGACCAGAAAGACTCAAGAACACAACTTCCTCCTTATGATCCATTTCTGTTTCCTTGTCATTCTGATACAACAAGAGAGAACAGCGTTGTCTTTGCAGACATTAGGCAAAACATGCAGAGGCACTGGCAGCATTAGCACCTGGGTGAGGTTGTTTTGCAACCTCATCATAATGTTGCACTTCCGTAATCCCTGTAGAGACCATCTGTACCAAAGTCACCACATTCCTTCCATGGGCTTTGGACAAGAGTCTAAACTCTCAGGAAATAATGCATAAAAATATATTTGATACAGAATACCTTTCTGATGCAGGTTTTACTTTTTCTATCATCTCTGAGAATAACATCAAATTGAAGCTGGGCTGTAAGAGGGATGGAGAGGAGATCTCAAAGGGAAAGGCTTGTCCATTGAAAATCCTGTTTTTCAGCCAGAATGATACAATCCAGTCAACTTTCAAACCTTGTGGCTCCAAAAGAAAGCCATGTGCTAAAGAGATGCATTTTGCTTTCAGCTGCTTGTAGCTTCATGGATCAGAGGAAATGTACTGGTGATTCTCTGATCCTGGCCAGAGGAGGAGAATTAAACAAACTGTCTACCTTGAACATGAGACAGAACAGTGTACTGAATATCAATAAGAGGTTGCTGCAGCAGGGAGTAGAGCGCCTCACAGACTACAGCCACAGCATGTGGCACAACCAACCTGGCAGTCTGCTTCAGTTTGATCCCAGCCCATTCATGCAAAAATCTGGGTACTAGAGTACAACAGAAACCCAGTTTCTAAGGTCAGTTAAGCAAGGCATCACCCTTGTGAGAGTTCTAGCACTGAAGCCTAGAGGAAATTATTCTAATGAGCCACACTAGAATTTAGAGTCAAGAATCATAAACCCACGGAAATCCCAAATCTGAACTTTCCCAACTCTGAATTTAGTTGCTTGATTTTAGGTCCTTAAATTTGCTGAGGGGGAAAAAAAAAGAAAGAAAATCAACCTCCCAGTCCTCAGACATTACTGGAGTGTAACTGCCCAAATAGCTAACGGCAGAGACAAGGATAGTTTCCAGGGGCTCTGAATTCCACTTTGTACACTTGTTTACACTTTTTGAGGACTTTTTGTGGTTTTGTCCACTTGTTGTTGTTTTTAAACACTTGTTCATTTGAAACCAAGCAGAAAGATGTAGAAGGTGTAGAGTCCCTGGAAGGCCCAGGAGTACATGGTTTTTAAGGGAAACTGAACTGGGTACAGAAAAGAGCTTGGGGCAGTGACAAGTTACATGCCCAAACAAGTGTATTCAAGAAACAAATCAGTAGTTTTATAATCACATAATCTAATGCTCCTAGAAACCTTAGGAGTGAAATAGTGAAAAATGTGCTGAAATCTCAGTGGAACACTAAGGAGCATTACAAATAATGAAGGTTGTGTCAAGAAAAGAATGAAGTAAATGATGTATTTATTGACAATTGCTTTCATTTCAGTAGTTGCTAGTACATAAATTGTTTCATTGAAATAAGCAAAGTGTTTACTCTCAAGAAATATTTTACTTTCACAAAATTAGAATTCTCCAAATCTCACTTTACAGCTGCAGTAGACACAGAACTCCAGGGAGTGAGACACAGCTGTAAAAGACCTTCTTTCCTTCCTAAAAATGCTACTGTTCTCCAGGAATTTTTATTTATGCAATGAACAGAAGAGGACTCCAAGGCTGGAGATGTTTTTGTCACATAATGAAAATTCATGCCAGAAAATGAAATCTTCTTTGAGTACACAAAATTAAAAAAACCTGAGGATGAATAGCTAAGAACTGATATAGCCTTAAAGTTTGGGCCACTATTGCATGTGCAATTGTAAGATAAGAATGTGTACACTACAGTACATGCTTCTTCATAAAGCTAAGAGCTAAATGTTAAACAGAGACATGATCATCCAAACCAGATCAAGGGAGGTTTTTCACTGGTTTAACCCCTAAGTGGCTTCAGAAACAGACTGGTCCTGTAGCAAGTGTCTGCTATGGCAAAGAACCATGGTCTGTTCTACAAATGGTGTCACCTGCCCAACAGCAAACTTCATTTTAAAGACCACCAGAAGTGGTACAGGAGTTTTGTCTACTGAGCACAAAGATTAGAACAGAGGACGAGCAAGGAAGCTACTTCTGTATGAGAGAGTATTTGTGGATAAAGTATGGGAGAAGCTGGCACTGCTTGTCATCAACACATGTATTAAACAAGAAAGGTTTATGAAGGTTTATGGTGGTATCAATAAAGGGGCGTCTTTCCATCTTCAGTAAACGATAGGAGGGCTGCATTCAGTTTAAACATACTGGATTTAAGGACAAACCATTTAAACCACTCAAATCCATGCCTGCCTTTTTGGAAGCTTGAAGCTAGACAATCAGTATCAGCAATATCTCTTCACTGATCTTGGATGCTATCTAAAAGAGATGGGTCACCAGTCAAATTCTGGTGAATCTGTGGATGTTCAGGACTGAATGGACTTGCATGGTTTGTTTGCTTTCCCAGCAATGCTTCAGGAACTGAAACTGCGGTACTGATATTAGAAGCTTTGCAAGCAGGCACAAACATCACATCTTGACATTATCTATAGTTCTTGATGCTCAGGCATTTAACAAAAATAGATCAGAAGGAGGGCAGTTACAGCAGAGGAATTTATAGAGTGTTAATGGAATGAAAAAAGTTCAATTCCAAACAATACTACATCCGTCCCCACTCTTTGTTTCTTAATTCGTTCCTCTTGATCTTCCCAGTGACTGTCTTTGGCAGCTCTTGGACAAATTCCACCTAAATAGAAAAAAGACATAAAACAATGTAACCTGTTCTACAGTTGGTTTTCCAAGACTGGCTCTCAGCATATGTGCCACTTGTGAAACAATTTCTTTGGCTGCCTAGATGGCCAAACATCTGTGTATCTGCCCCCCAGGTAACCAAACTGAGTACCGTAACAGAAGGATGAATACATAAATGGTATCAGAGGTCAGAGATGAATGACAAAAAGAAGAAAAAAGGGACATTACTGGCACAAACTCTTTAATGGTCCTTGGTTCCTATGAGTTCTGCACAAGTGAACTAAGGCACTGCTAGTAGCTCTTTTCCTTCTAGTGCTGTGATTACTGAGAAACATCAAGTGTACCCTCCTGGGCTTTCTTCTTATTTATTAACTGTGGGGACCAGATTCAGTCAGATACTACTGTAAAGTCACCAGAGAGTGCTTGGTTGAAGAATAAATACGAAATGGAGAATTATGATTGTGAGCCTGACTTAGAACATGCGAATTTAACTAGGATATCATACGAAGCCTAGACATTTTTGAGAGGTTTAAACAAACACTTTACTCAAATGCATGAAAACCAATGTAAACTAATGTTACTTAAGCAAGATTTTCTGGAGCCAGTGCTCTAGCTGAATCTTTACCACTGTCTATTTCAGGTGAATCATGAAAAAACAAATAGTAATTCTCCTGAGATTTATGGAAAGGTGCCCTGGTTTGAAGTTTCTCGTCAGGAGCACTTACCTTTCTAGGGTATTTGTATGGAGCAGTAGTTTTCTTGACATGCTCCTGCAAGTCACAGGTTAAGCTCTCCAGGTCACTGGATGAAAAGGTTGGGGACAGGACCACAAATGCTTTCACAACCTGTAAGGTAAGGTCAACAAAAGTGATCTGACACCATCCATTTTTAAGCACTGACATACAGGTTACCAATGGGCAGTACTGCTGAGAGTCATGACCTGCAAAAGGGAGAAACAGAGAAAACAGCACAATATAAGAAATGGTTATGCTCAGCTTCTGCACGTGTCTATGCAGAAGGATAAAGCTGAAAGCACAGTTTTCCTGCCCTCATTACAAAGCAAGAGCACTTGCTGTATCCTCTCAGCGGAGGTCAAGAAGGAGGAGTACTAAGAGGTGTCTCTGCAGAGTTGACCCTGAAGCTGAGGGACATTCTGTTTCTCTCTGAAGTTCACACTGAGGACAGGAGGCCTGTATCATCCCAGCATAGGACTGTCCTTTCTCCATATGTGTAGCCCAAGTCTAACGCTACGGCAGTTATACTATAACTTTGGCTACACCAAGACAGCCAGAAAAGACAATTTCAGTGTATAGACAAGTGCTTAACAGCAAGGGGAAAGTAAATATCATTGTAATGTTCTCAACAGGGGAGACCTTCTTGGGATGAAAAGAAACTAAGAAACTTCACGGATCCAAACAAGGGCAATGAAACTGGTGAGGGGTCTGGAGCACAAGTCTTGTGAGGACTGGCTAAGGGAACTGGGGTCATTCAGCCTGAAAAAAAGGAAGCTCAGGGGAGACCTTACCATCCTCTACAACTACCTGAAAGGAGGGGGTAGCAAGGTGGGGGTCTGTCTCTTCTCCCAAGTAACAAGCAATAGGACAAGAGGAAATGGCCTCAGGTTGCACCAGGGGAGGTTTAGATTGGACATTAGGAAAAATTTCTTCACCAAAAAGGTTGTTAAGCATTGGAACAGGCTGCCCAGGAAAGTGTTCGAGTCACCCTCCCTGGAAAAGACACCTGGATGTGGTGCTTAGGGACACGGCTAGTGGTGGACTTGGCAGTATTAGGTTAATGGTTGGACTTGATGGTCTTTTCCAATCTAAACAATTCTATGATTCTATAATAGCAAAGGCATGTAAATGGGAAGGGATTTTGCCCATCACCCCAAGTAGGATTACCTATGATGACATGACTGCCTTAGAGCGGTACATTATTCAGTAAAGTAGGAACTGCTTTATATAGTTATAAATTTAAACAAACTTATTACTTCCCCCACCACTGTTCAGCATCATTACCTCTCCTCTGAGGGGATCTGGGCTGCTGACAACAGCTGTTTCTGCCACTGCTGGGTGCTCTATCAGGGCACTCTCTACTTCAAATGGCCCAATGCGATAACTAGGTAAGGAAAGAAAAATGTAGGATTTGGTTTTATGAGCTGGAAAACCAGTACCAAACGTTTTTTAATTGTAATCTTGAAGAACACCCCCTCCCCCAACCAAACCAACAACCAACTATAGAAGCTTTAGGCAGAATGGGAAAGTTGGCTGTGTTAGAAGGTAGGAGCATTTCATGGTGGTCACATGGTAGAGGACTGCTGGGGCTGCGGATACCTCTCCATCTCTTCCTTTCCTTGTGGCTCCAAAGCTGGAGCTCCATCCCACCCTGATAGCTGTGGTCTGCAGTACCAGCTGATGCCACATTATGGTATCACATCATACAATATCAAATTATTTCATTTAAACATGTTAAAAATAAAATGTTTCAATGCTCTTCAAGTCCAACAGAGATGTCCTTCAATTTTAGTCAAAACCCAAACTAGATTAAAATCCCTCCTCTGCCAGTAGAAGTCTTCACTCTTTGTTGGAACAGATGAGATGTTGCAGGGAAAACGGATACAGAGATGCCACGGACATCACCAAGATGACACTGCAGGTCTATGAAAAGCTAATAATAAAAGCAAGTATTCCTAAATCAAGGGGTAAATACATTCATCATAGGACTATCATGTCAGAAGCTCACCAGGAACACAACATGTAAGATTATACAATGGCAGATTAGTAAGGAAGCATGCAAACTGACCCTGAAGAAATGATGATGTCATCGTCTCTTCCAATAAACTGAAAATACCCATCTTCATCCATAGTCCCTCTGTCTCCAGTGACATAAAAATCCCCACGTTCACTTTCTGCAGTTTTCTTAGGGTTATCCTCAAAGTGGTTTACAAACAACAGTTTAAATTTTGAGCATGCATTAGCTATACATTATGCTATAACACACATAATATTAAATGCACTGGAACTTAATTTTTCAGTCAAGGATGCTCAAGAATTACACTGACATTACTATAAAATACAAAAAAATAGTTTTTAAAAACAGAAACCATTTTGATTCTTTAAAAAAAGATTTAACTGAGTCTTGAGCAAATTCTTCTCTTCCCTTTTCTAACATCCACCAATCCAAACAAACAAATTTTTCTGGTAATAAATAACAAACTGGTGAAAAATATTCAGCCTTCTGAACCACTATGCAATTGGAGAGATTTTGGGGAGATTGGTGGTGGTGAGGAATAAAATAAAGCCCTTACTACATATTCAGAGAATAAACCAAGTGGTCTTATAGGTTTGCTTCTGACAGCAATTTCCCCCTGTTGTCCTGGAGGCAGAATATTAGCATTTTTGTCTATGATCTGGAACGAAAAACAACACGTATTTTAGTCCAATGGGAAAAAAAACCCCAAACCCAAACCCAATCAAATGAAAAACCCCTATGAAAGGATATAAAGAGCAGACAACAAACCTGCACATCATAAAGGGGAGCTGCCTTCCCCATCGATCCAGGTTTAATCTTCATTCCTTTAAAAACGGAGCAGATTACTCCCTGTAAAAATCAAAATCAAACCCAAGTTTTGCAATAGAAAACTGCTACATTCACATTCAATTCATTAAATGCATTTTCTAGAAGAATTCCTAAGCAAGGAATTAAGATTCACAGGATCTTTTATGTCAGCACTGTATGGTACAGATAAGCAAAATCAAGAAACTCCCTGAAAGAATCCTGTTCCGTTATCAGTGAAGAATTCATGCCCTCTGCTAATCAGGCTTCTTCCTTAGAATCAAACTCTGTCCTCTTGCCTGTCACTGTCACTTGGAATTTGCTTAAGGACATTTATGGAAATATTAGAGCACATCTCCCAACAATCCATGTTTCTGGCAGGTTCTGTGAGGAGAGCCATGAAAGGGTATTTTTTCACAGGTTATCAGGGGAGGAGATTACTGGAACATTCACAGAACCGTGAAGGAAGAAACAGGCTGTGTTCTTTAAGAACAAATATTAAAACACCATAAAGCAAAAAGGAATTACAAAGATTTAATAGAATATTGACCCTACAGATGTACCGTTTCAGTCTGGCCATATACTTCATGGATGTCCAGCCCAGTCTTCCTTTTCCACTGCTCCATGACTTCTGGGTTGAGTGGCTCCCCTCCACTTATGCAGTGCTTCAGGTTCATGAATTTGTAGCTTCACAGGGAGTTAAAAACCAAGAGACGCAGTGCTTAAATCTATTGTGCAAGTCAAGGAACATGCAACTATAAACAAATAATACTGGAGAGCTGTTTTCTGGGAGAGTTAGTCCCATGAAGGGGGGAAATCAGAGGATTCCTGATCCAGCAAGGATATCAGTCTGTGCTGAACACTATACATATGAGTAGTAGCGGTCAGAGTTAAACACACATGAAAAATGAAGTAAAAATTTTTCTGAAGTCAGCTGGGATTTAAAGACATGCCTGTAACAAAGCACAGAGTGATTTGCTGAGCCAGGGCCCTGACTGCTGACCCTCTGCAACAGCCCAAGTGAGAAAGTGCAAGAGGGGAGGAAGGAACAGTGGCAGGCAGTGAGAACTGGAGCAGGGCATGATGTACAACTGCCACAACAAATCACTCCCTCACGGTTATGCTGACACTGACTTTCTAGGATGACAGTCCTTCCCAAAGCATGGACAATTAATGTGGTAACTGAAAATTATGATAAAGGATTTAACAGGCACTCAGGTTCATACCCTCAGGGATCTGCTCACAAGTTCAACAGTGGAAGTCTCAAATTTCTGAGGGAAAACATCAAGTTTCTGTATGTTTGATCATAAAACTCAGCAAAACTCTCAAATTTCGTATGACTGTCTTTTCATGAAGGATATTTTAAACTAAATTACTACCCTATTTTGGGTCAGGCACCTAGATCTGGGAGATTAGTAAGTTTAGTCAGGGTAAATTAAACATCAGTAAATAATTTCTTGACGTACTTGGAGAGATCATTTTGCACCAGCATGCGGAACAATGTTGGAGCACCAACCAGCGTGCCAATAGGGAATCTGCAGAGAGTCTAGTGAGTTAAACAACAAGATGGACATATGAAGCTCAGAAGAAAAACCACCTTGTGGATGTACAGTAAACAGGTGATATCGGGGGCAAACGTAGGTGTCCTTTCTATGTAAAAGCATCATATGCTCTCTATTGGGTAAGAAACCCTCCTCCATTGGTGTAATATGCAGATTCACAGTATATTTGATTAGACAAAATCCCATGCTAACATGTCTATATGACACTCAGACTGCGCAGCTTGGAGCATGGGCAGAATAAGCCTGTCTCTGTCTAAACTACAGGGAGGTTTTCACTTTCATCTAGTCCAGTGTGGGTAGAGAAACGCTTCTGTTTCAGTCTGCATTAAAACAGCTGATATTACTTCCACAGTCACTAGAACAAAAGGAAAGAAATTAGTTCTGCTTTTGGATGATTTTCATTCACATGCTCACCAGCTATGAGTAAAATGTATGAATGAACTGCAGGTTTGGCCCCTTCTGTGTATATTAAAAATGCAAATAGGGGCTTTACATAATGGATACAGCACCTTGAACACAACTATGGACACAAGCCTCATGAAATCTATGGATGCTGTTAAGAATTTTTTTTTTGCACACTTTCTGCAGTTAACACATCTCCATGAGTTTTTCCTTACATTTAGGATGGTTACTGATTCAATCTGTTGTAGCTTATGTATAAAGATGCATGATCCAAAAACCCAGGGATCAAAAACAGATGCCAGTGAAGTTAGTATCCATCCTGTATCTGCTGTGCTCCATATCATGTCTGAGGGAGTCAAATCCAACCAGTACCTGGTAGAGCAGAAAAAAATGAACATATAGATAATGAAAAATTTTTGCTTTAAAAAAATCAACCATCAAACGAACAAACCCAAACCACAAAACAAAGAAACCAAAAAAATCCAACAAGCCCAAGAATTCTGACAAGATACAGGGGCTCTGGGCACTCTGAATAAGTTTGTTTTATGAGCTAGCTCTAGGAGAAAAGGTGACCTAACTATATGTTTGCATAAATACATATATACACACACATACTTATATCACATGTATATGATGTCAGTCATAAGATAGTGTAGAGTAAGGGAAAGAGGAGTCTGAATTTCAATAAAGTGGCTTTCCACTAGGTAGGAGAATAGGGCTGAATCAGCAGTATTCATGGATGCTGTGCTGGACACCAGGTATTTCAGTTCTAAGGCTGCCGAGGGACCAGGGCGATCTGTGCAACCAACATAAACTCTGCCTCTGCTCATCTACACATGTCACAAAGTTTTTTGCAACCCAAACAGCATGGTATATCTTAAGTATTCCCAGCTGATGCTTGTCCTTTGAACCACTCTAAAGAAAGGGTAAGAGATATTAATTGAAAAATGGAAACACCAGGGGTGATCCTACTCCCCAGAAATCTGGAGTTTCTAGTCCAGTTTCAGAGGGAGAAGGACTGGGGCCATACATTGGTATTTCTTATTCAGCCATTTTTCATCAGTTCTACTATGCAGCTTCAATTATTCTGTGTTCAGCCAGGCTCAAGCCTTTCATACCTTTCATTTAAAAGGGGTCTGAAACCAAGACTACCCTGGGAATGTTCAGTCATCTTCGGAGAACCTGTGGTTCCACTGGTAAAGAAGATACTCAGTGAGTCTTGAATCCTTGTTTTGACACAGGAATGGTCAGCAGATTGGTTTCTTTAAAACAGAGAATGCAGTCGTGACTTCAGTGGTTACTTTACACGGGCTTTGGAATGTAATAAAGCATTGCATATTGCAGAACTCCTACCCCAAATAAGCTTCACAGAAGCTTTTCACCAAATTAGACTAAAATAATGTGGAGTTACACTACCTCAGAGACAGACTTCCCCTTAAGAACAGGATATAAACTTCCTAGAACAAGACCACTGCTAGTAAACAACTCTGATGTGGATCAGCAATCAAGCAGTCACGATTAACATCTTAATGCTGGCATTTGCTGAGTTTTTTTAGTCAATGAATACTTGTAAGTGAGCACTTGCGAAGAACAGGTCTGCTTTCTGCATCGTGACTGCAGTGTCACTAACTCATACTCACTTGTACAGGTCAGTGAAGTTCAGCCATCCCCGCCTACTGCCTTTGGACACAATTAGCTTGGTTTTCAGAAACTGACACTCAGATGCCACCGAGTCCACAGCAGGAGCCAGTGTGTCATCAGTAATTATGCATGTGGCCTTTGATGCCTGGAGTCGATACAATATGTCTTTGGCTGATAACTGGGATACTCCTGGAATTAAGACAATTCCTGGAAGAGCAATAAAGTTAAGTTTGGGATGGCGTTTTTTACATCTGACGCTTTTCTAAGAACCTAAACTATTAACTACTCCCAAACTGACCTCTGAGATTAATTTGCCCTGGCATTCCCAAGCTGAACAGTCACCATGGAGTAACGCAGCTGCTTGTGCTTTCCTGTAAGGAATGAAATGTGGACCTGTCTGGTGACTTCCATAGCTCTTCCCTGCCTTCTGTCATCTCCATGCCTGCTGCACAGCCACCTGTCCTACAGCACCTAGTGCAAATCCTTCAGGACTGCCTGCGTAATTGGTAGCTAGGCCACTCACTAGATTATTACATTACTTTTCCTTTATAAACCATATAAATTCTTGATCCTGTCAACTGATTCGCATTAACCAGTTTTACCAGTGTCAGATATGCTCACTGACCTGCTCGTATGCAAGCCACTTTCACCAGCCACCATTCTGGGACTCGTGGTAGGATCACAAAAATTCTGTCCCCCTTCTGCAGCCCACATACTTTAGTCAGCCCATTGGCCACTTTCCGAGACAGGAACCCCAGCTCCTCAAAGCTCCACTTCACTTCTTCTCCTTTTCCATTTATCCACCAAAAAGCAGGATTTGACGGTCTCTTTCCAGCCTGCAAAACATAGGGATTCAAAACCAAAACATTCTCTTCTGAAAGACCATGAAATTATAATGCACAAATATCTGCAAATTATGGAAGATCTGAGTATTTCACAATGAGCATATAAGCTATTATTTTTCCCTTGTCCTTAATGGATTGAGATTTGCTATGGATCAAGCTCAGATATACCCAATAAATTCTCCTTTTCTGAACCTGGAATGTTTATCACCCCAGTTATCTCCAGACTCAAGTCCTACTCCTGGATCCTACTTCAGTTTAAGCCTTATGCCTTAATGCTCTGGCAAAATAACAGATAACATGAAATACTTCACATAATACTCCTGATACTCTGGATGGAGTTGTGGAATACAGGCAGAGGACAAAATAAAACGATAGGACAACACAGTATCCCAGGACTCTTTCTAGTCTGATTGCTCAGGAAGAGGGGAATTGAGTGGTCTCTACAGTGCATCTGGACAAATACAGAATCCACTTTGGAGCAAGGCAATTAAACATTTGTGGGAGAATTTTCCCTAGCATGCAATGTTACTGTTATGTTACCTGTATTTTTATGATATAACTATCTAATATCACAGTATGCAGAAGGAATAAGCACAGCCATTCTGAGGTTAAATCAAAGACAAAAGGGACTTTCCATTGCTTTTTCTACCTCCATAGGGAGCACCAAGCGTCAGAGACACTTTTAAAATAAAGCAAGAAAGAGTGAGATTCCTAATGAAAATTGGTTTTGGCAACTGATTTTTTGATAAAGAAAAACCCCCCAACTTATTTCAAATGAAATTTCTAATTAAAGTATCTCATCTGCACAACAAAAGATTGTTTACCTTTTCAATTTCAGACCATTTGTCCAGTACATCACTTGCAAAGTTAAAGTACTTTGGTATTTCCTGTTTGCCCCGTCTGACTGACTCATACTGTGAATGTACATCAGAGGCAAGCAGCCTGGCATGTCCATGGAAAGTCCTATTAGGAGGCTTCAGAGTCCACAAGGATTTTAGAGTCTGTAATTTAAACAAGAACTTCATGGCAGAAGATGGTGTATGTAGATGCTATAGACTATGTAAGAAAATTTGCAGAAATGTTCCTATGAATCCTGCAACAACAACAACAAAAAAAAAAGAAATTGAGATTATCCAAAGACAATTCAGTTATGAATTGATGAGTTATTAACTGAAGTCACTTAGGCTAGTCACAGCCAAACTGATGTTTTTAACAGTAAAATTACAAGTGAAGTTCCCCATCCTGCTTTCTTATATTTATTACCACCAGCTTTTTAAGGACTTAATGTACTGTGCTGATCTGGCATCTTGTCTGTAGCTCAGCTGATCCTTATAGATTCTTGATGTATTCTTTGGGGCTGCTAATGCCCCACAACTCTCCTTAGACAAACCCAACATCAGATGTTACTGTTTGCATTATAAGGTGGTTATTGGTTCTTACACCAAATCATTCAGTAGCTGATTGTCTTTCTTCTTACTTCACAGGGAGCTGAAGTATGTTTCCAGACTACTTCCATCAAGATTCTCACTGCTTTAGCTCGTATATCCATTCACCACATATATGCCAAGACCTTCACTTCAGTAATCCCTTATGTAGGTCCCCAAATTTGACTTGGACATTTCTAATTTGCTTGCTGTAAATGCTCTCTTCCATCTGTACTCACCGTAATGATCCTAAAAGCTCTCAAGTCCAATTTATTATTATTTTCAGTAGTCCAAAAGATTGCTTCAGAACTGTGATAAACTCTAACAATTTTAATGCTATTTAGAGGCTTCTCATAAGTGCACATAAAGACCATCAAACATGGAAAAAAACCACGGCTTGTGTCTGCAAGAGCCCCGCAGTCAGAGCAGGAGCCATTGGAGTCCTGGAGGCCTATGATGATTCTAAAACCTGAGTCCCTCTATTGATTTTCCTTTTTCAAGCACTAAACACAAGTTACTGAACTCAATACAAGGTCAGATGAGTGACTGTTGAGATAGAAATTAATTTTCTCTTCTGTTCTTACAAAGGATGGAGCTATCTACAAAGTAGGAAAAAAAGTTATAGGTAAACTCTTGATTAAGTTCTTTTCCATGTGGAATTTCTGTGGCCGGAGCAAAGCTGCAAAGTTTTGCCCTTTGTCCCAGGTTTTAAAGTTTGTTTTGTATTCATTTACCTCTTTGTCCTGTGTCTTCAACCGTAACGACTTATCCTTGTATCTCTGATGCTTAGATCTCAGTTTTGTTCAAATTTTATTCCCCAAGAAAAAGTAAGGTATTTGTAACAGAGGAATTATTTCCTTATTCCTTAGCAGAAGCTTTTACAGTAATATTTAATCTGGCTATCAGGTGAATGAACTCAAATACCTGGAACTTGGACAACTTAATCATTCCAGTGATATCTGACAGCATAGAAAATCTGGATGCAGATCTTCCCCCCCAGATCCTTTGTCAAAACCAACAGTAATTCATGGTGTTCTCCATGCTACATGGAGACTGCGGTACAGAAATACTGACCAGCTGTAAAAAATCCCATAGGATATCATTTGCTCCTGAGAAAGAATCACAGGACATGGATATAACATTAAGTGTTATTATGTCCCTAAGTGCCACCCACTTCAGAATCAGGATTATAGAGCAGAAACTTATTTAGATGGTACTTACATTTTAAATCAAAAATCTATTAACAGGACCTGGTGGAAAAAATTATCTAAAAACGTTTTACTGGTGAAAAATAGTCTTTTAAATGTTCCCTAAATATGTCTTCTTTGAGGTTGTGACCTCCACTGTTAATGCTAAAAACCAATGGATCCACTTTCATTCCTTTAACAGAAAAGCCCGATCTTTTTTATTATTCTTTTTAATAACATAGTAAGATATTTCTCATTTCTTAGTCTGCTTTAATTCTGTGCTTTAGCTATAATCTACAGATTTCAGAGCATTGCAATGACAAAATCTACACAATAGCCTGTAAAGAAAAGAGGAGACAAAGAACATTCAGGAACAGTATTCAAGACTGGAAATGGTGTTCAAGACCAGCAAGATGAAAAACCTTTTAAATCCAGGGTTCCCTAGTGGTCTACAAAAATGTCAGCAAAGTTTTGCTGTGAGAGCCTTCAACAGTTTTTAGCACTTTTTCACCTGCAAACTTAGAGGTGAAAATGAAGTAAGAAAATGGAGGAAATGATGCAGTAATGGCAAAGTCATCTGAACTGCTGCAAGAATCAGAAATTACTTTTCCTGATTTAGGATCATCTGCTACTTCTCAGTGATCAACACCAGGAATTTAGACAAATGTCTTCCTGACCTGTTGGCTGTGGACAGTATAGATTGAGAGCTGGCTGGGGTAGATCCTCTTCATTCAGTTCATTTGGCTTCCAGGACGTGTTCCCCAAGCAAGGTACTGTGAAGATTAGCCTTTATCTGAGACGTGAAAACTGGACACTCTGTCAAAAAGAATTTGGAGTGAAACCCTTTGTACTTTATCATTTGCTTCTTTTGAAGTAATGAGAACAGAACATAGCACAAAACAGACCAGGCAGCACAATTCTTTCTCTGGAGTAACCTTTTCCTTGTAATCATTTACACTGTCGTTAATAGTGCACAATTTGCACCTTAACCTAAAGCACTTTGTATCTTCTCTTTTCCCCCACTTTAACCATTTCAGGAGACCACGAATTCATCAAGCTGACGAGAAGTAGTAAAAGAATATGTCTTTTTCCTTCCACTCAGAAAGAATTTGGGAATATTACAGTGATAGTTTTTGAAGAGAGAGTATCACTTCACTGCTGATACCAACTACAGGACAAAGATTATTTTTATTTATTTCTCATTTATTTGTAATTATCAAAATGTTGTAGTTAGACTAGTTAAGACTTTTTTTTTTTTTAAAGGAAGCTGTTTATACTAATTCCAGTAAAAAAATTAAACCTTTGTAAGCTCCGAGATCTGTCTCTTCTCTCTCCCATTCCTCATTCTTAATTACTTGCACCTTCTCCCTTCTGAAAATTTGTAGGTTGATGGCAAAAGTGGTTCTAATATCACACATCCTCAAGCCATATGAGTGTTAATCTCCTTTTTTTTTCCATAGCTTGTTTTTCCATATGTTCTCCTAGTGCTCTGGGTCATGACCACATGCCAAGTGTGATGTGCTATGGCTGGTACGGATAATGGAAATTTTCTCTCCTCAGTTTTCAGATTATGTTATACTCTTTCCCCACATTTTGTTCCTTAGAACCTTTCTCTGGATTTTCCCAGTAGCTGTCTTTGGCAGATCCTGAACAAACTCCACCTGAAAGGCAAAAATGCTCACTTTTAGCCAAATACATTCCAATTAATCTCCCAGGTGCAAGGAAAGACACACTTTCATTATGGCTGGGGTAAAAAGATGGGAAGCTGCACAGCTTTGGGCTGGGATCGTGAAATTCCTTACTACACATCTTAGCTGACTGCACAGACAGTACTTGCAGGGACAAGTACCACAATCCTGCAGAGATGAGTGCTTCTGCTGTCAGGACAGGGATTTACTGGTGTCTTTTCTAGTTGTAAGGGATGGATTCCAACCCCTCTGATGCCAGGAGGAATTTCCCTTTGCTTTGGCTGAGAGTCTGAACAGAGCTCAAGGGAGGAATTCGTAAGAGCTGAAGGCCCATTTGAGTTGCTGTGAAAACCCTAGTATTTCATGAAAGGAAGACTGGACCCATTTCCTCCCTTTGGGTCCTTTCTAGCACATACAGCGAACCCAAGGCTACAGCTGCAACAGACACTGTAATTTACTTTTATTTTATTTAACTATAGTTGGAGTATTTTCAGAATGCAGTTGAAAAGAAGCAAAGGCAGGACAAAAACTTCGATTTTTGATACAATCAAAAGAACTGCCTTTTTGTGGTGTACTTACCTTCCTCGGATACTTGTAAGGTGCAGTCACCTTGATATGTTGCTGAAGCTCATGAGTTCATTTTCTGGATAGTGTGATACAAAAGCAGGAGGTAAAACAATGAGGGCTTTGCCTATCTGTGCACAAAAGTTAAGGGACTCCATTAACTTCCCGGCCTGGGAATAAAGGGATACATTTGTTGCCAAAGCTGAGTATCAAAATTCAGAAATGTAAAAATTTGAGGTTTTTTTCTTCAATTTCCTTTTTCATTGGCTGTCTATTACAGAATGCAATGCTACGAAGGACATATTCTGCAGCATGGGATTTTTTGCTGTTTTTCCACTTTTCTTTCTTAACTTTATAATACACAACTAAACTTTCAAGAAGTTGTAAACAGGAAAAAAGACAGCTGAAAATCTCACCCCAGGGCTCACAGAAATGTTGCAAAGTTGAAAAATATAAAAAGAAAAATTAAACATGCTGGATATCATTGCCCCATGTGCTTAGTGACGAAAAGAGAAATAATCTGAATTCTATTTCTTAGACAAAAAAGTGCTACAGTAAGTCTGAAGAGCCAAACCCTTTTCCCCACATCAAACCCTGCAAACATGGAAATAATTCTGAAATTCTAAGATCTGTCAAGGTATGGGTTTAGAATTTTTTTAACCCATTTAATTTCAAAAATCTGCAACATATTTAATTCCAAGGAAGCCTAGTACTTATAGAGAACTTGATGCTTAGAATAAAGTGCATTTCTTTCTGTATCTTTTTTTTTTACCTCTGCTCAAATTTTATCAGGACTGCTGACAACAGCTGACTTTGAGACTGCAGGCTGTTAATGCATTTTTGACTTCAAATGGGCCAATAAAATACTTAGGAGAAAATGCAGATATGACAGCCGTAGCAAGCTAGACATTCAATTGGTCTTTCCAGATTGAATTTTAACAGGCAAATGACCAAATCTAAAAGCAACTGACTTACCCAGAAGAATTAACTATATCGTCAGCTCTTCCAGCAAACCAGACATATCCTGCTGTCCCCAGTGACATAAAAATTTCTACACACAGAGGCAGCAGTTTTGTCTGGATTATCCTGACAGTAATCAAACATTTAAAAAAATGTATCCAAATGTTAGTGAAATGTAATGCATTTACTTTGCAATGGTGCT